GAGCCCCAGCGCCGCAGCAAGGAGCAGATGCTGGAGCTGGTGGTGCTGGAGCAGTTCCTGGCCATCCTGCCCCGGGAGACGCGGAGCTGGGAGTGGGGGCGCGGCGTGGAGACCTGCGCCCAGGCCGTGGCCCTGGCTGAGGGGCTTCAGCTGGGGCAGGAGGAGGATGAGACGCTCCAGGTGAGAGGGTTCGTTTCCCCCCAGTCCTCAGTGCTGCCGCCTGCACCTCTGTGTGTTTGTGGATGTTCCCTCCCACCCCCAGCTCTCCTCTTTCCCAGCTCCCCAGTGACATATAAATCTTGTCCCCAGGTCACAGTGAGTATGAAGGTCGAGGAGGTGTCTTCAGATGAGATGCAGCTCATGGGGGCGCTGCAGGACCCTGGTGATTGCTGGCTGGAGGAGCCAAAGGCCCATGCTTTGGAAGTGTTCCTGGAGGAAGCAGGAGAGAGGGATACCCTGGGGCCTCCGGAGGAGCCACCTTGTGTCCCCAGAGAAGAGCCCCTGCCTGACCAGAAGTCAGGTCCTTACCAGCTTATTTGATGTATAAGCTTAACAGGGGCTTGACATTCACAGAGCAATGCATACCCTCCCTCCCCTGCAGTTACTAGGGTTGGCGACCAGATATAGGTCAGCTGATTTTGGGGGACAGTTAAAAAGCAAACAAGACCAGGGGAGAAGTCTGGGGTTCAAAACAAAAGCTCAGAGTGGGGACACCAAGCAGGGTACACAGGCAGTACCCACTGGCTCTCCAATAAATCCAAGGAGCCAGAGGTAAGTAAGCAGACAAGGTTCCTTGGGTGAATTTGATATCTTTTATTAGACCAACCCAATAATAATAAAGATATCAAATTCACCCAAGGAACCTTGTCTGCCTATATCCTTAGACCAACACGGCTACAACCTAAACCCCAGTGGTAAGTAAGGTGTTGGATGTAGGCTAGAGCGTGAGTCTGGGTGCCTGAGTGGGTGTCCTGCATTCAGCGTGAGAGCCTCAAACGTCTGCCAGCCAGCACCAGGAAGCAGGGGGCAGTGGTCTCTACAGCTGAGCCCAGCAACTCTTCTCCAGCCTGGCTAGGACTGCCTGTGACAGGGCCACAGTATTTATAACCACACTAGCAAACTGGCCTTGGTCCCCCTCCCCCATCCTGCGTGCATATCTGGGGGCATGCACCCTGCGGGAAGAGCCCAGCACAGCCCTCCCGGGGTACATGTAGCACCCACTGACAGTTCCCCTTCCCACACCCTTCCTTCCAAGCCTTCCCTAGTCCCAGCCGTACTCCAGTCCCCCCCTCCCTCCCTCACTGCCACAGGAACGTGTTATGATTTCCCTGATTTAAATTGATACCCCCCGCCCACTTTTATCCCCATTTCAACCTGGTTTTTTATGTTTGGAAAATAAACCCTGAAAAATAAACCTCAATTAATTTTTTTTTTTTTTTTTTTTTTTTTAATTAAAAACCGAAGATGTGGAACACTACTGATGCTTTCAGGACCAGTGTTCAACTCTCCCCTTTCTCATTCCCCCATGAGCCCTCTGTGCCCCATCAGGACCTGGTGTCAGGGAATTGTGTTTCCCCAGTGATGTATGGCTGGTTCATGTACAGTTAGCCCCATGCCTCTGTCCTGCTACAGATTCGCCCAATGCTGAGGAGACCTGGGAGTGGTCAACAGATGAAAGCTGCTCAGGCTGGTGCCCTGGAGGAGGCCCTTCCCCAGGAGCAGGTAAGAAGCGCTGGTTCTCCCCTTTCCAGCAGCAGGAGGCACCGTCCCTCAGTGGAGAAATCTCTGCCACAACATTTTGATAGATTCAGTGCTTCAACAGGTTGGTTTTTCTTGTTTTCTCAGTGCCCCTTTGAGCATTTTACATGTCCTGGAGAAGGCTGACTTGGCATTTCCCAGCCCCCTCCCCTTAAAATGTAGATGCTGACACTGCAGCAATGTCCCCTGAGCTTCTCTCCCAGGAAGCAGTGTCCCTGGAGGCTCTGACACGGTGTTCTGGTCAACAGCCTCCACTTGGACAGAGTTAATGGACCTCGTGTCCAGCTTTGTGCCTGTGGAGGTCTGTAGCAAGAGCTGTGGGACTATGAGCCTTCCTTCTCACCCTTCTTCCACACATTGATGCCTCTGGCTGGCTCAGTCCCCAGCCAGTACAGGAGACTAGCAGGACTTTCCTCATGCTGGCAGCACCAGGGCTAACCTGTGTACTCACTTCCCAACCCGCAGGTGCCGGGACCCTGATTAAAGCTGATCAGCAGCCTCCTGGGGAAGGGCCTGTAAACTTGGAGATGCAGAGGACATCCCCAGGAAGACTGGGAGAGAGAGGCTCCTTGATACCAGAGCTGGGCCAGGTGCAGAAGGGGCCGGTCAGGCCTCCAAAGCAGGAGGAGAGCTTGGAGGTGAGTAAGGCATTGGATTCAGTTTTGGGTGAGACTACAGTTGGGGCTGATCTGAGGAGGATCCAGGGGTGCTGGGAAGAATTTTGGGACATGGGGGGGACCTGAAGAGTGACAAGAGGAAGCTTCACTAGTGACAGAGTCTGCAACTGCACTGAGCTGGCATTAGCAGGAACTTCCTCCCAAGTGCAGATATCCAGGATCGCCAGCATTAGAAGGCCTGATTTAGAGCCCATGGTGTCAGAGCTTCCTCTGCCTCCAGAAGCGCAGCTTCATCTGCATCTAGGAATTGATGAAACAGAATGTCTTAAGACCTAAAAGACCAAGAAAGCCCCTCTGGGTACATCATGACACTCAGCCAGCACCAGGAAGCAGGGGGCAGTGGTCTCTACAGCTGAGCCAAGCACCTCTTTTCCAGCCTGGCTAGGACTGCTGAGCATAGAGGATCTCTCCAAGGGATGCCAGCAGGATCCTCGAGACCAGCCAGTGCCCAAGAAACCTCATGGGCAGGCAGCTTGGTAGGAGTGAGCAGCATCTGGCGGCTGGTTACCTGCATTAGTCTGAGGTCAGGCAGAAGGCAAAATAAATTTGCACCTTAACAACTAATTAAATGAAAGAGGTATAGGAAAAATTTTTGCAAGACCAAACTCATTTCTTCAGATGCGATGGAAGAATATGCCCAGGCCAAACTAATAGAGAGGGTCTTTCGAACACCAAATACAGGAAGGAGGGAGGTGGGAGTGGGGATAGTGCTGGGAAAGGGGAAAGTACGTAGAGACCCACATGCACAAGGGGGACACCTAAGCTAATCTAGGTAATAGGATAAGAATCCATAGTCCCTATTTGAACACAGTCCAGCCTATGGATGATTTCTTGTTGCCCAATTCCACGTTCAAGTTTGTTTTTTATAGTTTTGGTCTCAGAACAGCACCTATGAGGTCAGCAGTGGACCGTCCAGAGGGCTTAAAGTGTCCTGCCACAAGCCTTTGTGTCTTCCTGACCTGATGTCAGATTGGGGTTCGTTCAGTCCTTCCTGTAGGGATTGCACCATCTGCCAGTGTAGACAGCGGAGGGGCATTGTAAGCAGGAAATGGCCTATATGGGAAAGGAAGAGCTTGAGATGAAAACCCCTCAGATGCTAACATCCATATTATTTGGTTTAGCGAGGCTGTGGTGTGTATTGAGGAGGGAGCACAGTTTGCATCTGGGTCCGTTGCAAGGCCTGGCACCTTGGTGAGACTGGGAGTTAGGTAGCCTGTTGTTACAGAGAAGCTGCTTGAGGTTGTGGGGCTGCCGGTAAGCCAGGACTAGTTTGTCCCCCGTGGCTACATTGAAAGGGGGAGGTCATTCATGATGTGTCCAAGGTTTTTGAGCTGGGGGCTGCAGGTGAGACTAGCAATGGCGCTCTTTTGTCCTTGTTCCCAGGTTGGTATTGCAATAGGTTGGAGCGATGTCTGAGTCTGGCTTTGTTGCTTGCAGTGACAACAGTTTGGGGATTGTATTGTACTTGTAGGATTGTCTGGTCTGGGCACTTAAGCTTTGCATCCCGGTGGGTGGGAGGTATTGAAACAGATAATGTAGTGTAGAACCAGGCTGCGGATGATGGGTCTGGTGATGTACTTAGGATGAAAGCCAGGTGTGGTAGTGGGTGAGTTTCTGATGCAATGTGGTGGCAATGTAGCCTTCGCAGCCCTTCACCATGGGTGTCTAGGAAATGAGTAGGCTTGGCTTGGTGGAATATTCCAGTTTAATTTGAGGGAGGGGTGGAAGTTGTTAAAATCCTGGTGACATTTCTCTAGGGGTTCCTTTCCATCTGTCCATACGATGCAGATGCCACTGACGTACCTTAGCTATATGAAGGGGATGAGATGCAGCTGTGGAGGAAACAGACTTCCAGGTCTGTCATAAAAATATTGGCATGTTGTGGAGGCCATGTGCATGCCCCTGGTGTTGCCATTTGTAAGTATGTATAGGGAGTCCCCATATCTGAACTAGATGTATGTAAGGATAAAGAAAGTCAGTATTTGCACAACCTGCAAGAACGTGAAATGAATACCTGACTCTGTCCCTTTATACCACTGTCTGGTGGGGAAAAAAGACACCCCAGAGTTGATACCATCCCTAGAAACCACCTCCATGCCCACAGGTGTGACTTTGCCCGGAAGAGTCCAGACCTTATGTGACTCCATTTCCAGAGCCTACAATATGACAGATCCTAGAGTTTGAAAGCCACGTTCTTCTTCCATTTCTTTCTAAACTTACTTCACAACGAGTCCAACCTGACCCAGCATGTCACTGCATTTGGAGATCCACATTCCCTCTTCCAGCTTCTCCTTCTCCATCCCTTCATTTCCACTCCTGTGCCAGACACAGCAGGGATGTCTACAGCAACCCCTGCTCAGGTGAGACATCAGGGAGGTCCCACGTGTTGTATGGGGCCATCCAGTCTCACCCTAGACTCTAGGCTCTTAGCTTCCCATCCCAAAGCCACATGGGAAGGGAAAAGAAACTCCTGACCTCACTGTGCCAGGCCCTAGAGTTCCCTGGGGCGGTGTCTGGTGGAGAAGGATGATTCCTGTGGTCCCCGCTCCCAGGCAGGGGTTCGTCCTGCGTGTCACTGCCATGACTATAGCTTCCCCAGGAAGACTTGGTGCACCTACACTACGAAGTCTGCACTGGGGTAGCACCTTATGCCAGCTAAATTAGCTGCACGTCTCCCAGAATGAGATGACTTGGGCACACACATTAACTCAAATGTGTACAGAGCGGTGTCCACATAACATGTCAGCTGAATAATGGGGAATTGTGTACCCCCACCTGTAGAGGTGCACTGGTACATTGGTCTGGTATTGGATCGGCACTGATATAAAGACCCTTGACTGTATGGAAATTGGCTTTTTTTTCTTTTGCCTGATGTGGCTGATAAGGTGGCCAATAAATGCCATGAGCATGCGCCTAACTGCAGCACAGCGTGTAGGTGATGAGGAGCACAGCCTGGCAACTTGGAGAGCTGAATCCAGCTGGTAAGTCTGTTGTGGTGGAAGGGGCAGGGGCAGGGAAGGGGTATGTGAGGGCAGATTGAGACCTCCACAATGAAAGAGGGAGTGGGGCTGCGGCAGGGGCAAGGGCTCAGGCAGGTGCTGCCCGAACAAAGTGGAGTGAGGTGCAGGATGGAGTCGTTACTTATCCAGAGGGCATGGGGGGGGGGCCTTCCACTGCTGCATGCAACCTGGAGGTCATGGGGGATGCGTGTCCCTGGATCTGCGTGGGGCAGGGCAGGCTGCTGCTGCAGGCTGGGTCCGGGGCTGCGTGTGGCTCTTCCTGGCAGGGGGCTGAGCTGGGCTGCGCTCAGGGCAGGTGGCGGCACTGCCCAGAGGAGGCCTATAGGGAGGCTACGATGAATTCTGAGGTGGCTGCAGGCCCGCCCCCCCCCGCGCTGCTTTTTCCACCCCGAGTGCAGCCAGCTCAGCTCCTGCTGGGAAGACCCCGGTGCAGCTGACCCTGCCCCGCAGAGCTCCAGGGGCACATGCCCCCCATCCCCTCCCGGGGTGCGTGCTGTGGTGGGAGCCATCCCCATGCCCCCTGGACAAGCCGCAGCACAATCCCATGCCCAGCCCCACCTGGGCTGGGCAGCACCTGCCCCAGCCTCACTCCCTCCCTCACTGCAGGGACCTCGATCTTCCCTTCCCTCCCCCCACAACAGACTTACCAGCCAGACACTGCTCTTCAAGCTGCCGGGCTGCATATCGGAAATCAGATCAGTATCGGCCGATATCCCTCCTTAAAAATCAGCTATTGATACCAACCCAAAAAATCTCTATTGGTGCACCCCTACCTGTCATGACCTAAGCTTCAGATCTTTGTAATACAGAGTGAATGCGGATAAGACTGTTGGGGATAGAGGCAGCTGGAACAGGAGACACTGATGGTGTAACGCTTGTGACTGCAGCTCCAGCAGGTGTTTGAGGACGTGGCCGTGTGTTTCACCCGGAAGGAGTGGAAGCTGCTGGAAGATGACGACAAGGTGCTTTACCGGGACCAGATGCTGAGGAATTATCAAGCCCTTGTTTCCCTAGGTAAAGCTCTGCTTCTCCCTGGAGCTATGTGAACTGAGAAGTTTATTGTCTTCTCCCTGTTTTTCAGCAGTCTCATCCTTGTGAACTTTTGTCTGGTGGTTTAAATCCACTTCCTCCCCACTGCTCACTCAGTGATCAGACCTCTCTCCCATTTCAGATGGATCTATCCTTCATTTGATCCAGCTGCTTTCAGTTGTGTTTTCTTCATTCTTGTAACTCCTGGTGCTTCCATATTCTTCAGTTTCTTGGCAACATAATCCCCCTTTGCCTTCTCACTGAGTTATATCATCTCCAGTTCATTGTGCATAAAAATTCACTAATAGCTCTTCCTTGAAATTTTTTTCAAATTTCCTCCCTCTTGCCTAGTGTGTCCTGTCCTAAAATATTTACCACATCCTAGTGTGTTCAGTACAGTACAGTGCTACCCAAATTCCCTTTCTCCTCCTTTTCTTATGACCATGCAGAAGTAATTGGAGGTTTTATCAGCCTCTGCTGCTACAACACATAGAATCTGCATTTCCTTGACTCCTTCTCTAGTGATGTATGTACACGTGATGCAACCCAAGTACTTCTAACAAGGAGTCATGGGAAACTTCTGTCCACAGTCCTTCCTAACATCTTTATCTCCGTAGACCACAGACTGTGGCTTTTGCTGTACTTACTTTGGGACCCGTGCTCCCAAGCTCATTCTGCCATTCTCAAAAATGTTCTTGTCCTCCTAAAATCCTTCTGCATGCGAGGTGTCCATCACTGTGATAACGAAGTGGGCTAGATGCAGAGCCTAGTGAAAACCAGTTTCCAGTTCCAGAGGATCTCTTAATACAGGGACTTGTTCTGGCTTGTGCATAGATGTGAGGCTCTTAGTTTTTACTAGATCAGTTTGCTTTTCTGGTGCTTTCTTTTCCCTCCATTTCCCCCAAAGGACTTCCTTAGGGAAGTGCTCAAATACTTTTTCTAGTTCAACAAAGGTAATTTAGACCATTTCTAAATTCAGGTGCTGTAAAATGTGTCTGCGTCTGCCTCCTTTTGTCCATATTCGTGACTCCCAGGACCTTTGTATTAAACCTTGCAGTATTTGCCAACCTGTGTACTCCCCTCCCCTTCTGGGATGATCCTCCCTTTGGATGGGATGATTGTTTCAGTTCTGTCTACAGCTATTTTAAAACCATCCTTCCGTGCGCCCTCTCTCCCAGAAAACATTTCCACTGTGAGCCATCTGGCATGGATTCTTTTCACTGCCACAAGTCCTCACTTTAAACCCTCACTGAAAAGTAACTCATTTCCACTCCTTTGCCTGGATTTACACTGATAATATAGATGTTATCTGTCCATAAGTGTGCCCAGTGTCTCTTAATGTTGGTGCCTTGAAAACAGTAAAAGCTTTATCTTTGTGTCCTCTACTACATCACAGATCATTGCATCTCCACCCCTGTCCTTGGTGACTCTAAGTTTCATACCCTTTTTATACCTTGGAGTGGTTGGTGCTTTGTTTCCTATGACCATCCCTCCACCACCTGGGTGACAAGGGCTATCATCTCTTGAAGGCTTCTCCCTGCAGTGCCTTCTCTTTCACCCTAAATGGTCACCCTCCCTTGTCCGTCACAGTCCTGGTAGAATCCTTCATTTCACTGGATCCAGTCCCCAAATCCTGGCTTCTTATTCTCTGCCCAATATCCAGTCAAAAACCCTCTTTAACCACTGTCCCAAACAGGATATCGAGGTCCCACCCCTGACTTAATCTGCCGCATCCAGCGAGGAGAGGTGGAGCTCTGGGTCTGTGAGGACGAGGACCAGGAGAAAATCTTGAAGTTGGAGGACCTGTCTCCAGGTGAGCTGTGGTGTTCCCCTCCACCCCGCACCCCTCAGAAATGCTCCATGCCGGAGTCCCAGGTGCCTGGAAACTAGACTTGCCTTGTGCTGCCATTGCAGGTGCTGACCTCAAATACACTATAGTATGCTGTAAGATGTCCAGGCAGATGTGGTCCCCACTCCCTGAAATTCAAAGCAGTGGAGACAAGCAACTGTTTCTTTTTCTTCCCCTAATTATGGCTGTTAGGGGACAGTGGGTTTGCTGTCTTGATTTTTTTGGCACGGATCTGGTTTCCCTGGGTTACTATGATCTTCAGTTTCCATGTTCACTGAGCTGTGTGAGAGTTGATTCTCCAGGCCAAGGCAGCCATACCTCTCTAACACCTTTTTCCAGGGATGATAGGATTTGTAGTCACCCATGGAAATTAGTCCAGTTGGCAGAAGCTCTGTGTAGCCATTGTTGGACAAGAGAGAGGCTGGGACTGTCCCTGGTTTCTCCTGATTAGAGTGACCTAGAACCCAGGCAGTGTTTCATCATAGTCTCAGGCTTCATTGAATCACTCCATGGGGTGGGTGTGACTAATATTTTGGGTTGAGAGGGAAAGTGAAAACCCCTTGTTTGCATCACAATCTTCCCATTTCTGTTTCATCTCTGGGGTCCTGAGTGTCACAGAGCCTGAGACTCATTCAAGTCTATGTACAGGTCAATGCCAAGGTCTTTGTCCCATTGCAGATTCATGTGACATGGAGGCCACCTGGGAATTGTCAGCAGAGGCTAGCTTCATGGTTTCATTCCCTGCACCAGACCTTTCCCTGAAAGCAGGTAGGAAGCACAGCTCTACTCCTTTGAGAAGAGAGCCACAGCTCTAAATTCTCCCTCCCATAACATTTCTTGGAGGGATGGAACATGTCAGCTTTCCTACCTAGCAGAAGCAGCACTTGTTTGTAGCACAGAAGCAGCTAGTCCAAGTTAATAATAGTGTCATAGTAGCTAGGGTCAGGAGGGACCTGAACAGATCATCTAGCCTGACCCCCTGTCACAGGCAGGAATGAAAGCTGGGTTCACAAGACCCCAGACAGATGATCGTCCAACCTCCTCTTGAATATGCCCAAGGTAGGGGCGAGGACCACTTCCCTGGGAAGTTGGTTCCAGATTTTGGCCACCCTAACTGTAAAACATTGCCTTCTGATCTCCAACCTAAACCTATTCTTCATCAGCTTATGACCATTGTTCCTCGTCACCCCGGGTGGTGCTGGGTAAAAAGGGCTCTACCTATTTGCTCTTGATCTCCCCTGATGAGCTTGTAGGCAGCCACCAGGTTCCCCCTCAGCCTCCTCTTGCTGAGGCTGAACAGGTTCAGGTCCTTCAGTCTCTCCTCATAGGTCCTGTCCTGCTGCCCTCTCACCAAGTGGGTGGCCCTCCTCTGAACCCTCTCCAGGCTGGCCACATCCCTTTTGAAGTGCGGCGCCCAGTACTGGACACAGTACTCCAACTGCGGCCTGACCAAAGTTGCATAGAGGGGGAGTATCACCTCTCTGGACTGGCTTGAGATGCACCTTTGGATGCATGACAAGGTATGGCTGGCCTTGCTGGCTGCAGTCTGGCATTGGTGGCTCATGTTCATCTTGGAGTCAATAATGACTCCAAGATCCCTTTCCACCTCTGTGCTTTCAAGAAGGGAACTCCCCAGCCTGTATGTATGCTGTGGATTCCTTCTCCCAAGGTGCAGC